ATCGAACTTGCGATACTTTGATTCGTAGCCCGCGCTCAATCCACTGAGCTACGCCAGCTAGGGCTCCTCTGAATTATTTTTTAACTTGGGTTTTAATCCAAGTTAATCATTGATTAGCTCTGTGACTTCAAAATATTTTAAAAGGAATTTCTCTGAGTCTTTAATTTCCTGATTTGAGAATTATTAGGGCATATACAAAATGTCTAGCTTTTCCTCCCCACACAACCACATCAAAACTACAACTAAATATAAAACTACCATCACTCAGAACTGTCAGGATAGATGCTATAGGACACCTACTTATATTAAGCTATGCTACCAAGCCAGAGAGTCATAGCAGCTCTAACACATTGAAACAAATACAAGAGGCTGCAAAAATGAGAAGACAAAGAATCATGGCCCAAGTGAAAGAACAGATCAAAACTCCAGAAAAAAAGCTAAATGAAATGGAGCTGAAGTCAGATGCAGAGTTCAAAACAATGGTTATGAAGTTGCTCAAGGAACTTAGTGAGGACCTCAACAGCATAAAAAATATCCAGTCAGAAATGAAGGATACACTAACTGAAATAAAGAACAATACACGGAAACAGTAGTAGAGTAGGTGAAGCCAAGAATCAAATCCATAATTTGGAACATAAGGAAGCAAAAAACAACTAATCACAGCAATAAGGTGGAAAAAGAATCCAAAAAAAATGGGATAGTGTAAGTTGTCCCTCTGGGGACAACTTCAAATGTTGCAACATTTGCATCATAGGGGTGCCAGAGGAGAAGAGGAAAAGCAAGAAATTTGAAATTTATTTGAAAAAATGATAAAAGAAATCTTCCCTAATTTGGTGAGGGCAATAGACATGCAAGTCCAGAAAGCACAGAGAGTCCTAAACAAGATGGATGCAAAGAGGCCCACTCTAAGACACATCATAATTAAAATGCCAAAGGTTAAAGATCAAGTGAGAATCTTAAAAACAGCAAGATAAAAGCCGATAGTTACCTACAGGAGAATTCCTTTAAGACCATAAGCTGATTTCTTCAAAGTTACTTTGCAGGCTAGAAGGGACTGGCAAGAAGTATTCAATCATGAAAAGCAGGGACCTACAACCAAGTTTGCTCTATCCATCAAAGCTATCATTTAGAATGGAAGGGCAGGTAAAGAGCTTCACAGACAAGAGAAAACTAAAGAAGTTCATCATCACCAAACCATTATTCTATGAAATGTTATAGGGACTTACTTAAGAAAAAGAAGAATATCAAAACTATGAAGAATAAAAATGTCAATAGATACATATTAATCAATAAATGAACCTAAAATCCAAACTAAGCAAACAAGAGCAGAGACAGAATCATTATATGGAGATCATTCTGATGGTTGCCACATGGGAGGTGGGGAATGGGGAATGGGTGAAGGAAGAGAAGTACAAATACATAGTTACAGAATAGCCAAGGTGATGAAAAGCACAGTAGAGGAAATGGGATAGTCAAGTATACACATGCCTATGGACATGAGCGAAGATGTGGGGATTGGCTGATGGACTGGGGAGTGCTGGACTGAGGGGGAAAAAGGGAAGAAATTGGGATAACCATAATAACATAATAAAAAATAAAAAATAGCCTAGCTTATAGCATCTTCTCAAAAAAAATGATGTCCCTTATTTAGAGAGAAAAAAATATTCATTTATTATTCCCTCAGAGGTAGTTAGGAGAGTAGATTGAAGAGTATTCTGTCTTTTTTTCCTTTTCAGTGTCACAATCTGTTCTACAGTTCCTTTTTGTTTTATTATATACAACATTCATATTGCCAATATGGATATTTCTTCTATATTGTTTCAGTTTTTAGGTGGTATCTCATATTAATGTTTCCCACTAAACATCTATCTAGATCATTCTAGGTGTGGTAGCAGTTTTGAGTTTTTGAAAACTTTACAGTGTTTAAAGACATAGTTTATGGTGTCTTAAAAGTCAAAATCTTTGTTTCACTTTCAAGAAACTGCCAATAATTTTCTCTTTGAAATTCTCCATTCACTTGACCTCTATAACACTGCAACATCCTCATTCTCCATGTATGTCTCTAAATGATCCTTCTCTCTTCTTCTCTTCCTCCTCCTTCCCCTTCTCTTCCTTCTTCTTTCCCTTCTCCTCCTCCTTCTTCTTGGACTTTTATATTCCTCTGGTCAATTTTAACTCTTGGTATCTAACAGGGTCTACTTTGGCCCTTTGCTCTTTTTACCTGCATACCCTCCATGAGTGACCTCATCCACTATTGTGATTTTGACAAACGCCTCTTGCTGATAGTCTCAGATCTGTACATCTCTAGCCAACAACATTCCTGTTTAATAAGGTGGGAAAAGTGAACAAGTGAGCAATAGAACCCTGGCTTCTCTCTGCAGAAGGAAGCAGGGAGTGTTAGTGGACTATGGCATGTTAATGATTGTTGTCCAAGTTCACGTGTTTGTGTGTTTGAATATGACATTACTCTATCTGGTTTGCTGGTCAATTACTCTTTTATATTGTTTTGTAGAAGATATCTTTCTGTGTATGTAATAGTCCACTGCAGGTGATTGCATCCCCTCTTAAAACAAACAAACAAACAACTCTGAACATGTAGCCTGTTCAGCCATAACTATAATACAAGTGTTTTCTTTCATTCATTCATTCACTCACCTGAAGATATGTTTAGAGAGAGGAAGAGAGAGAAAGGGAGAGAGAGAGAGAGAAACATTGATGTGACAGAAACATTGGTCATTTGCCTCCCATACATGCCCTCACCAGGAATCAAATCCACAAATTTTGGTGCTCAGGATGGTGCTCCAACCAATTGAACAACCCGGCAAGGGCTGCAAGTGTTTTAAAGCAGCCCTTTTGGTTTATTGAAAGGAAAAATCTTGGAATCAGTACTTTGCTTTCTTTCTTGTGGTTTGTTTGTGGTTAGAGTTTATGTACTTTGTACTTTATACATCAGCAACAGCTGGATGTTGAAGCTCCAAGGAAAACTTCTCTCAAAATAGTATTGTTGCAAAGAGAAAATGACATTCATGAACTTTGGCAGGAACTTTATTCTTAAGCCACGTACAATTTTGAAACTTGAATGGAAAAATCCACTGCATGGAGAAGCCAGCCTCATTGGATCAGAGCTGGTCTAATTATGAGGAGAAGGTGGCGCCAGCAATGCACAGAGCTCTGAGGACCTCTGAGAGCTTGTGCATATTGTGTCCACCAGGGGGCCTAGACAAGGCCCACTTAGATGGGCCCTTACCACAGGAAGAGGCAGAGCAGGAAACCTGCCACTTGGCAAAGCATCTTTGCATAACCAGGAGTTTGGCTTTGCATTAGCTTACTTAGATGACAGTTTCACAGATTTTCAAAAATAACTTAGTTTTACTTATTAAAAAAAATAACATTCTTATAATCTGGGGTCCTTTATCATTTGAGGTGGAAGGTCCTGCCTTAGTCAGGTTCCCAAGACAGTGCCTGATTATCTCAGTCCCCTTACCCTTATGTAGTCAGTGTTTCTGTGTCCTCAGTAGTGTCATGGGGTGGGGGAGGTCTCATTTAGCTCAGCCCTTTCAGCAAAGGCTACTCAACTGACCATATCTGAATCACAGAGCTAGTTTAGTGTTTTCTTCAGTAGCAATCCCTGTTGTTAAACAAATGTCTGGCCTCATCAGTACTTATTTCTCAATAATTAAGTTACCTTAAAACAAATGGTCAAAATCTTCCATTTTCATATCCAGCTACTTCTGTAGTATGTGAGGCTGTCCCAATATACGAGGGCTAGGAAGTATCAAGCATGATTCAGGCTACAAGAGATTCTGAATGTAGTAAAGAAGGGCCACTGTGGTATTGGGGTGCTGCTCATGAGCCAAAGAACCTCCCACAGAAGCCAGAAGCTATCTGTGAAAATCTTGTCCAAAGCCTTCCTACAACAGCCATTTTGGAGGAATGTGTATCCTGATAAGCCCAAATCATTTTATTGAGTAACTCTTTTAGGTTCTTATAGAAACTATTGTTTTTGGAGTGTTGGACAGGATGAATTCTAGAGTCCCCTGTTTTATGTCACCCAAGAGTTTGCCTTTTTCCCCATTCATTCCACTGCCAGCTGGGGCAGCTCCTGAGCCCCTTCTCTCTTTACTGCATAGCTATTTTTTTTCTCCATGTCACTTGGGCTAAGTTGGAACTACCCCAGGCCACTGTGATAGATCCCCAGGTCCAGCTATTAGGAAGAAGAGGTCAAGGAATTTATCTGAGATCCACTTTCCTGGAAGGCACCTAGATTTATGAAAATCTCTTCTTTTCCATCTTTAAACTTCTCATAGCAAGAGAAATGCCAATTCCAAAGCCCCTGACACATCATTTCTCCCAGAAAAGGCTAACCAAGGGGTCTCTCAGGAGTTCAAGGGGATCCACCTCTGTAGACACCTGGCAGCTTCTTCTGCCTGAGCGGGAAAATATGTGAAGTCATTTAAATATAGGGCACACAGCTATACATACATACACATATACTTCATGAGAGAAAAAAAGAATATTCCTTTATACTGGGGAATAGTACTATAGTCTACAGAGAGGTATTAATGACTCTTTTCCAGGAGGGTCTAAAAATGGAACAAAATCTTATCAGTGTGGAATAGTTTAGTAGGGTTCTGCTATAGGGCAAGTGAGTGGATGACGGCAACTTGTGGGTTTGTTTAGTCAGGTGTTTTGCTTGTTTTTTACAGACTCACTATTAGTTGCTTGGACTTGAGTTCTGAATCAAAATGTTTAGGGATATGAGCTTGCAAGATTTGAAATCTGCTGTCTTATTTTCTCAGCAAAAATTGTTGGTATGTAAATGTATTCTCCATAAATTTATGGTGAAATTTTAACTTCTGCACCACTGTAAGTGCTCCTTATTTTATATGAGATTCTGATCACCACCAAAATCATGGAATAACAAGATGCTTTCATGCATCATAGGATTTTAGTCATCTTTAGCTTACAGCACAAAGTTTATTGTTTGTTTTTATTTGCAGCCTCCACCTCAGATATATGACAAACAGTTGGATGAAAGAGAACACACCATTGAAGAATGGAAAGGTGACTTTACTATACTTAAATAAAGTGTATATTTTACTTTATTCAAACTCAGAAAATATTCTCAAAGATTTTCTTTTTAAGACAATTTCGTAAGAGATGATATTCTAATTGCTGTCTTCTTAGACTGTTTTCAAAGCTCTTAAACCAATCTATCTTTTTGCACTCTTGATAATATGGCATTTGCTCAGGAGTAAAAGGAATTAATTACTGACACTTTAAAAATAGCACTGTTTGTCAAAGTTTTGTCATGGTGGAGGACAAACTTGAATATAAAATTTCATAAACATTTCATGTTTGTACATAAAATTATCACATAAAATGGATAAAATTATGTCTGAGATAGTTTTAGATATTAAAAAATAAAATATAGCTAATATATGAGTTAATTCAATCCAGATATAGCACTTAAGAACTTAAATAGAAAATATGTGTATTTAAGTAGCTTACTTTTCTTTTAAAGTAAGAAAAAATAAATAAAAAACATTAATTCATTTTTTTCCCAGCAAAACTCTCTTAAACACACACTACATGATCGAGCTTATACTCAGGGAGAAACCAAGCAGGATTATAAAGGATAGTTGAACTAATATAAATTATTACAGAGTAGAATAAATACAAAAAAACAAATGCATATCAAATGATTAGGTCAAAATGAGGAGGGACATACAGGGAAGATCTGAATGGAAGAAATGTTTGAGATACATTGAATAAATTAATATTGTAAATTGGGAAAAGAAAATAAAAGAGGAAAATACAAGAATGTGAACATAAGAGGAAAACAACGGGTAAAAATGAGCTAAAAAGTGTTATAAAGAATATATATAGTGAAGGGGTCATGTTGAAGAATATGAAAAATGAGCAAATACAAATAGAGGAACAAGTAAAAAAAAAGATACTAAATGATAGATAGGAAAGACTTGATTTGATTTAAATAAGGACCAGAAGACACTCTTAAGGGTTTGTGTTGAGTAGTTAAATGATAAGATATAAATATCTCTTGAGGAAGACAGGCATGAACTAAAATGTGAGAAACTAAAGAAACACCTGTAAAGGATGATGACTATGTAACTTGTGAGTCATTTTAAAGCAAGTTTTGGTAGTGCTGAATGATTTTTATCTAGAAGGGGCAAAGTATCGCTTCTCAGCCTTTTGGCTAAGATCAAGTGTAGAAGGGGCAAAGTGACATGAAATGAAAATAAACAAGTTTAACTCTAGTAACAAAGAGCCATTTTAATGGATGCCAGTTTGGGCATAAATGTAATATTTTTTAATGTTGGGTTTTAGGCAAGCTTGGTTTTATAAATGCAAGAGTTGAGTCTAGAAAACAGATGAAAAGTTGAAAAATTGATGGAAAATAATGGTTTGAAGTCCTGAGAATAGGCATCCCTTAGGAAGAGAGTATAAAACAGAAATCAGTGTTCAAAACTGATTAGAATCCTTAAGAGATAGGTTACAATGTATATGAAATCTCCAAAAGAATTCAGAAAACAAGTAAAATATAGATTCCTCATATGTTTATTTGGTCAAATGCTTCACTGAGCCCCTTCTTTTGCCAGACTCTGTGCTGTTGCAAGAAAATGTAGAATTAGAGGAGTCAAGGAATCCTAATTGATTTGTAATTTACTCAATCCAATCAAAATGTTATTATTTGTCATTAATGAAAGAATATTCTCTGTGGATTAAGGAAATTTATTTTTATAACACTGATAATTGTTTCTTACAGAACTTATCTACAAGGAAGTAATGAACTCAGAAGAAAAAACTAAAAATGGTGTCGTAAAAGGACAGCCCTCTCCTTCAGGTACCCACTCTCAGTGAATAACGAACACAGCAGCACTTGTGTATTTTTCTTGACCTTGAGCAAGAACTGTGCCCAATAACATTGCTTATAGAGTGTATGAACAAGTATCACATGATTATTTCCCTCTAACAGTTTTTGTTTTAACACCCCCCTTTTTTTAACCTGTAATAGGCAAAATAATACAAAATGAAAACATGCAAGTTTAACTTTAGTAATGAAAAACTGAAAATGGGTGCAGTTTGGGAATAGATGTAATAATTTTTTACTGTTGGGTTTCAGAAAAGTTTGGTTTTACAAATTCAAGCATTAAGTGTGGGAAAAAGATGAAGTAAGAGTTGAAGAATTGATTGAAAGTAATAGTTTGAAGGTCAGTGTGGCATTCCTTCTGACTATTCAGATTATGATGACCTAGCATAGTTCTTTTAGAACTTATTTTAAGATAATAATGAATCTTGAAGAAGTATAATATGGACTGCTTTAAGGGTAATTGCTCCTCATCCAGAGCCATAATGCCCTTTCCACTATCGAGTCAACATAGACAGCAGGAAACCCTCCAGCCAAAACCTCCTTGCTCATTCATTCCAGTGTTTGAACTCTTCCTAGTGCTGATGTGACAGTAGTTGAAACATCAACCAGGATAGGCTCCAATTAAAGTTAGTGTGGAAAATCTTCCACTTTGTGATCTACAGAATCTAACACATTTGTACACATACATATTTTGTCATGTAATGTGCTTTAAGGTTACTCAAGATAATTTACTTATACTTATTAATGTTAATATATTTTTCTAAGATATATGTTCTGAAAATAAAGAGAATATAGAAAGAGTTCTAGAAAATGTTATGGCTTACACTCAGCTCATGCTGGGAAGAATGTAGGCTGCAAATGATTAGTTTAAAGAAAAATGGATTTGGTGTTCTACCTTTGATAAACATTTTTTCCATAAATTTTCAATTATTTCAGGGAAAAAAGATGTAATATGAATAAATAAATTTGTTATACTACTCTCAACAACTAGTTTGCACCCAGAACCACTATGTAGTCTAAAAAAGATGCATTTCAGTTATGATGTGTTTTTCTTACCTCTAGACTTGGGGAAATGTTTAATTCTATCCCATATCTTTTCTTTCCTTAAAAGGGGACTAAGGGGCCCTGACTGGTGAGGCTCAGTTGTTTGTGTGTTTTATGGCAAAATGATAGATCACTGGCTTGATTCCTGGTAAGGGCATATGCCTAAGGTCTGGGTTTTCTCACCTGTCAGGGACTGTACAAGAGGCAACTGATCAAGGTTACTCTCACACATTGATGTTTCTCTCCCTTTCTTTCTCTCTCCCTTCCCCTCTTTCTAAAAATAAATAGTCTTTTAAAAAAGAGGGTTAGGGTTGTCTGCCCTCCCTATTCATTCTTCTAGCATCCAGATTGGTACAAGCCTGCAGAAGATGCTTTTAACTTACCTGCATGTACTGTCTGCTGCTAATTAAGGAACCGAAAGACTGAACCCAAATCCTCAAAACGCCAGTAGCTACAGCAGCTGTCTTAAGAATTCCCATAATGGCCAGAACAATTTTCCTGTAATTATTAAGAAGCCAAAATACCAGGATCCAGTGAAGGGTGACCCAGACCTGAGGCTGGTACTGGACACATTTTAGCAGAGTCTCTTTTATTCATCTTTAGTTAAAGTCATCACTAACTTATCTCCTTTCCTTTTTCCACAGTTCTCAGAATCATGCTACCCACTCTGGCTCACACCACCTTCTGCTTCTTCTCTCCCCCATTTCCCCTTCAGTCCTAACCACATCTCCACATCAGCTGATCTGTGATGATGTGAAATCCACAATTCTCTTTTTAATACTTTCACAACACTCCACAAAAATCTCCTTATTTGCATGGTTTCTATTATGTAAGCCATGCAGCTCAGGGAAGGCACATACTGAGGATTGTACATGTGAGATCAACTAATCATTAAAGGGGTGAGATGAGTGATCTGCCATATGAAGAAAGCTTTAATATTTGGTAAAGGAATAAAATTTGTATGTAATCAATGCATAATTTCTAATCATTGAAACTTTAGTTCTGATAGAAAAAGAAAATGGGGTGGGACATCAGCATTGGGGGTATGATTAATGCATAAGCAGTAATTGTGTTGTAGTACATGCTCCTGCAACAATAGGCTGGTCCTCTGAAGGATCTAGACAGACGCTGAACAGCATCTACATGGAACAGAGAGGACTTCCCTAGAAACTGCATCCTAAATGTCTCCTATGACTTTATGATAAAGAGCAAAATCCTGCCATGGCTCACATGCTCCTTTGGATCTGGCATCTGACACACTCTCCAGTTCTCCCCACCTCTCTGCTAAGAGAAGCTGGTCTTGATTCTAGACTTTTGGTCGGGGTCATTTCTGCTCTGTGTATCTCATTCTGGTGTCCACACTGAAGGGGCAGCAGCCTCTGGGCATGCTCTTTCCCTGGTTATTGCAAGTACATCAGAGACCAAACCAAACTTTATACACATGTTTAACTCTTCTACTCACATGTGTCCACTTATAAAAAGGAAAATGAGTACATGTAGAAGTTTCTTTTAACTCATTAATGAGGGAAATAGCAAAATGACATTGTAAGGTCAATGAAGATATAAGAAATTAGGATTTATGCGATCTGCAGGGAAAAGCTACAGATTTGAGCAAGAATTCCACTGATCGGTGCTGTCCAATGGCTTTGCATCACTTACAATTGAAGCCTAGTAACCTCTTGCTGATATTGATAGCCCTCTGTAATACACCCCAGGTTATTTCACACTGCACCCATTCTAGGGTCTCATGTTCCTATGCTACTAGATTCCTCACCTTTAGGAATGCTGCCCATTCTAAAGTGTTCTCTTATTGATTATTACCTTGTCCCCAAATATTTTCATATCTGTCCCAAAAGACATTTCATAACATCCCAAAGAATAGACTCTTTCCTTCCTATGGGTATTACTAATTCCTGTATTTTAAGCACTGTCTTATCACCCCTTAGTGCTTATAAAGTCATTGAGAAGGAAGACTGTATGTACTACTCTTTGTGTAGCATGTGATGCCTAAGTGCTATGCCTTGCACATAGTAGTAACTTCGTACATATTTATCAGTTTGAAAATTGCTGCTCAGGTTCTCCCTCAGCATGTTTCTTGGTGCTATTCCAAAGACAGAATTCGAGACAACATCATAGCCTTGATACAGTATGCAATTCAGCATGTTCTTATACCAGTAAATATTTATTTACTCTATTAATCCTCATGAAGATAAATGAGCCAAGAATCAAGTATTTGAAGTGTTGCTATTGACATTTGCTCATGCTTCAGATAAAGGTTTGCTGCCTTCACATAGTTATTTGATTTATTCATTTTGGGCAATGTATAGTCCCATTTTTTTGCAGCCCTGCTTATAATGTGTTAATGATTAATTTTAAATTATATCATTTAGGCTCTATCTACATGTGAGAAGGCCAAACCACTTTTTAACCATTTCAACTACCTATAACAATCATAAGTAATCTACCTTGTACATGTACCCTAAATTATAGCTTGCTGGCTTAACCAGTTTATGGTAAAAACAATTGTGGATTCAATCTTTCACTTCATGATTTCAAAGAAAATATTCATTGCTTAATTGAGAAATCATATCTCATACCCATATGAGATATGAATGTATGCTGTATGTGTATGCATAATGCAGAGCCATGGGACAGCTGCACATGGGCGCTGACTCTGCCAGTTTCTCAGAGCCACTTGTGCTCACCTCTCCCAGCTATGAGTTTATGGGCCTCATGTTGTTAGCTTGAAATCTGCCAGGCAGGATTTAAGACATAGAAATTGGATGATGCTTCAGGTCAGACTTTTTAGTCCTGGAGAGCCAATTCCTGCATTTTTATTAGCACACCACCATGTCTGTGTGTGTCTGGGTGTGTCTCTCTGTGTGTATAATATGTATATATGCAGGAAACCATGCTGGGAAGAAAAAGCAATTACTAAGAAAACTTTAGAAAAGTCAGCTATTTTGCTATTTATTCATTATATATTTGCATATCATATTTTATTTTGTAAATAGCTAAGATGAAGAAATATACAGCATTGGCTCCCCTAATATTTTGTCATGGCAACACTGGGCACTGAGCCACAAGGGAATAAGTTAGTGCAGTTTCTCAGTGACAAAACATTTCTAATACACAAAACCATGTTTTAGTGATGCTTTTAAAGTGTAAATAGTAAGTCAAATGTGCATTTTTGCAGAAAGTACATAGGCTTGAAATTTATTGATGGAATTGTGGTATATCAATAAGAAATAAATATAAATTTCAGATACATTTTGAAATAATTGTATGCCCTTCTGCTAGCTGGTTTCACTTGCATAATGATTTATTTTCAAGAAAAGCATGGCTGCTTGCTTTCTGAATTGATTTGAAAAGACTGCTGAGGGAATTTCAGTTCATGAATAGAAATTAATTTTCTTCTAAAAGCATTTGTCATAGAATGTTAGAGTCAAACGGAGGTAAGAGGTCATCTAATCTCAAAATTCTGTCTGTTCACCACCCCCATTTCACCTGAGATATAAGCCATCCAGAAGTAACAATGACTCACCAAAATAGGGATGCTTAGCATCAGGATGGGTGGAGATTTTTTAGAATCTATAATTGAAGATAAAGCTCCCCAGGTGATTATAATCTACAATCTCTCCCCCAGCCATATTTCCACACCATGGGAGTGTGTCCTTTCCCATCAGAGTCACTTTTATACTCCAATGATATTATTTTTTATTTAAAAATCTCAGCCCCAAACAAGTTAAGGATCAAGATCATACAGAAACAGAATATAGTTCAGTGATATTTTTCACTTTAGTATTTCTTATAAGTCTTTGTGTCTATTTTTTGTGTGTGTAGATAGATCAGGAAAATAATTTCTTTTAAAATACAAAACTAGATAACTTCTACTTGAGAAATTTTTATTAACATTAGTTACTTATGTC